GCACACACAAACACACACTGAGAGGTGGGGTTGACACAGATGGACAGACATCCGTCTAATGCTTGTATATTGATTGGAAACCTACAGTCTTAAAATGTACAGGAAAAGCGGGCCAAAGCTCGTTAATCCAAACTATTTTATTATACTCAATAATAGAAACAAAATCAGACTGTAATAGCTTAACTAGTCCACTGATTGGCCGACAGCCGGTGAGAATGGAAAGATCTGCAATAAGACGGAATGTTAACATAAAAACTGATAGAGAAACGTTTGTCCTCTTCCTTATCTGTACTTTCACGTACCGTAACCAAAAGATTACTGGTGCTCGACACCGTTCCTAGTCCCTTCACTCTTTGATTAAAACTGACTCCTTCACATATTCTCATGATATCATACATCACTGACATTTTTTCTAATATGCTGCGTGTTTCAAAAATAATGGTCAGTTTCCTAAAAATCTGACGGCTACTCAACACTTAATGAACCTTTATGTCTCATTGTCATCTGCACACTGTCTCCTAAATTACCAAATCTAAACAATGCCCAAAGGAACATCTGTCTTTTGTGCTCTGATCCTATTGTACAATAATATTGTACACATTGTATACCAATAATAACATAAACAGCTTTGATTACAATACAGTAATGACACTGATAACATTAAGTTTTCCTTGCCTTTAAAGTAGGACACACATGCATAATTATTATGCCTGGTCGAGGGCTGTTTAATAATGTTATATCACTAGATTAAGGCTTTTTAGATTAAAGTATTGTAACTGGTGTTTTTCTAATATGAGGCAGACAGATTGCTCCATCTACAGCGAGCTCCAGCTCTGATGGGAACATCACACATCCATGCATTACAGATGATGATTTTCTAAAGTACCCCTTCTACCCAATTCATTTGCAGTGAACCATGCTCTCATACGTCTAGTCCACAGTGCAGTTAATCTCAGGGCTGTGTGTGTGTCTGTGTATGCGTGTTTGTGTGTTTGTGTGTGTGGCAGGCGTCTGTCATTACTGAGGCAATGTGTTTGGCCCTGAGCCTCCAAGCTGGCAGCTGCCTTTGTGTGTCGTGACCACTTGAAGCTGCAGATTTCACCGGGAGACACGTGCATGCACAACAAGTGTGAACACAACCATACACACACGGTTTCGCAAACAACCGGGTGCCTATTTACACGCACTTAAACACACACGCGAAGAGAAACAGACGCACACCCTCTGTAACTGCAAGCAAATTTGTATAATTATGCCTCTGACACTGCCTCTCAGTCGGCCCTCTTATTCTGCCGCTCAACACTTCAGTCAGCTAGCTCGTGTGTGCACAAAGAGAGATCAAACAAATTAATACACAACATACATTAACATGCAATATATATAAATACACGGGTTGTATGTGGTTACATTAATTTATGTCAGTTGCAGTACGATGTATATATACACAAATGTATGCATGAAGATAAGCTGACTGTATACAGGCACATAAATAAAGATGAAGATAAATGTGTATGCAAACAGTGTTCTACCAAAAAAAACATCTCTACCAGCCCTTATATGTACAGAGGAGGCACATCTGTTTGTGCAGATGGAAAAGGACATTAAACCCAGCAGACAGTCTGCCTACTGGATACGACAACACTACCAGTTGTCATGAAAAGTCATCGTGCATTTCAATGATCAACTACCCATATAAGTTAAAGAGCTCTTGGGCTTGGGACTCTAAAAACCAAGTTCATATAGGACTAATGTGCATTAGTTAACATACTTGTGAAACATTTTTCTTACTCAAATTAGTGAAATAATCAACAAGCAAACGTATCTGTCGTTGCAAATAGAGGCACTTTTGGCTTGATCTTTTGTTTTATTGTTATCTGAACCCAACTAAAAGATTATCCTCTTGATTTATAATGAAAAAGTCTTGATTTAAAGGAGATCTATTATACTGACTTAATTATGACAATTAATTATGTCAGTCTGGGACACCTATTGAGTAGCGTTGCGAGTTGTGTAGCTCAGAAACCTCCTTATGTATCTCATCTGGCTTAAGTAAAGTCATTCATTTCAGCCACTGTCTGAAACTGTCTTCTTAGCCAGCTCTGTTTGCAGTCCCAGGAAAATTTAAGTTAGCTCCCTGGTGGGCCTGTCCTTAAAAGAGCTGCCGGGACGGGCATGTCCTACAACTATGCTCCATGCTTTGCTGTAATACGTCGGCAGAACCGTCAGGTCCGTCAGGTTCTGGCCAAGTCCGGAAAACGTCTCATAACGTCTCGTTCAGAGCAGCAGGAAACCAACTCTGGGGACTACGCCAACAACTGTGTATTTTGTGTTAAAAAAAAACGTTATCAAGGTTTAAAATGGATGTCTCTGAATAGTGGGCGGGGCCGTTTCTCTCTTTCTCCACGTTGTGTGCAGGGCTAACAGTTGGTCGGGAGGGGCTTCATGTAAAAAAAACAAAAAAAACTAAAACTACATGTATGAAACATGTTTGAGTCTCTGAGTTACACACTAATATGCTGTCTTTTCAGTTTGAACACAGAACTGAAAACAACAAACCCAGAGGTCGTTTATTAAGTCATTCCATAACAATAGATTTAGGTGGGATAAATTATATATCTGCTGTTTAAAATGTTGCATACTATACCTTTAAATACAAGGCCATTCTAAAATATCCTATAATACAACTTTTAACAAAAGCTCCTGTGGGGAAGTTTTGAACTGGTTATGAAACAGACTGATATTAATATGGATGCCTCTTTGTGATCTACAAAGGCAAACAAGACCATCAGTAACATGACTGATGATTTTTACATAGTACGATTTAATGTACACGCTGTCAAAACAAAGTGACTTACAGCACCTAGCAGAAACAGCCTTTGTTGGCATTTTCCACACCAATGTTTCACAGTGAGCGATAAATGTCTGTTTGAAGACAGCAGGAGGAGATTTTTCATCAGAAAACACGACGTATGCATGTATGGAACAAGATCAGTCTAAGAAGTAACACTTTCCCCCTTTACTAGGATGAGCAGAGCTGCCAATTTAGACCAGTTTCAAGACATGTTATAGGAGTATCACTATCAAAAATCTGTTTTTCCCTTAATTGTCTTTGGAGGATCTGAAAGACAGATGTGTTGGAAGAACATCTTCTCCATTTGGAATAGCTGCTACTACCAAGATTTACTGAAGTTTTTTCAGTTGTGAAGACTGTGAAACAAGATACGAACATTCATTTCTATGGCATTCATTTTCAGTATTTGTTACAGGGGGAGAAGTATGAAATTCTTCTCGTTTTCCACTGTCACTCTGGGATTGGATAGACACTTAGTAATGGCAGATTTGCAAATTCTGGTATTTGAATTGTAAAGGGAAAGAATAACATGTTCTTTTTCCTGAAATCTCTTGTGAATGTAAAAATATTTTTGAAGGGTTCCAAGAGAAGTCATGCTGTTCTGAGTCACCTTGCCTGGTCAGATAAGACCAAAAAAAAAAAAAAAAACACTGTGCATCTCTCTATCTGATTATCTAGGATATATATTCATGCTATATGTAAATACACCTGAGTGTGTTTGTGTTTTGTATCAGGCATTGTGTGTCTCTGCACATTTTGGACTGCATTGACGAGATTTATGTCAAGTAGCCCCGATGCCTTTCCTCCTCCTGCACAAAAAAATGAGAATATGTCCATGTTTTATAGCAGAGCAGTGGGGCAGAAGGGGATGGTGTGTGTGTATGTGTGTGTGTGCATGTGTGCACGTGTGGAGCTACTACTCACAATACAACCCTGGAGCAACCCTGTGAGATAAACTCACAGAGAGGGGAAGCGAGGGGGTGGTGGAGGGGAGGGATTGAGGCGGCTTTACAAGCTTTCGAAGCATTAATACACAGAGGGAGCACACTGAAAGTCACTGCAAGGACGTGTTTACACAGAGCATTCCTATTGGCTAATGTATTGTATTTGTATGTTTGAAGACAAGGGAAATTACAATATGGTCTCCCTATGTTGACATTTACTATGTTCATGTCATTCAGAGACGAGGTTGAAACCTGATTAAATTCAGAAAAGTGAAGAATGGTGAAAAGAGGTTATAGTCTTTTTTTTTTTCCTAGCACAGAGCCTGGTTGTAAAATTAGTGACAGTTTTATTAATTCAACTCCGACAAGATACCACTTGATGGGATTACACGGAAAGAACTCATTCCATTTTATCTCAGTGTAATATTTTCTTGACATACCATTCTACATCTGCTTAATCCCTCCTTGACAGCAGCTCAAATATCCCACTTGTTGTGCAGACTAATTCCATTGTTAAATACGAGGAAAATCTCCGGCTAAACAGTGGAAAGTACTCCAGCGTGTCCTCCCTTTTCAAAAAAAAAAAAAAAATGTGGACAAAGACGATAAAGCTGTCAAAAGACACCTTAATTTTCTCCGCCTACATGGTCCGGTGATGAAGCAGGTACTTTTGTATTCTCGCCACGGGCCCCCTGAAGTCCACAGGTGTACGAATAAAAAATCTGAAGTATCACTCAAGGAGCTGGACGACCTTGAAATATTAGCAAGCCTCAGATTACCAAGGTCGTGCGCATTACTATTCCTCAGATGGATTGGGGGGGTTGAGTCAGAGGATGGATGAAAGAACAAAATGATGAAAAAGGGATGAGGAGATGAATGGAGAGCTGGAGTTGAGTTTAATGAGAGGTTAGAAGCCCGTCCCTCCTTAAGTCTGATGGATGGATGAAAGGAGGAGGTGAGGGAGCGGTGATGAAAACAGGGAAATTATTGGAAGCTGCATCCTTTAATTTTTGGGAGGGAAGTGGTTGAATGAGTGGCTCTAAAATCTTGCTGGCTTGAGACCGCTTTGACCTGGATAAGTGGTAAATAACCCCCTCCAAGTTTTGTGCAATGATGCCGAGGGATTTCTCCAGTCTCTCGGCTGTCTCTTTTTCTTTTCTTTGTCCTTTCTTTTAACTCTCGTCTTGTTTTCTTTCTTTTCACAGAATAACTTTTTGCCACCTGCCCTTCCAGAGTAAATGGCTGTACATCGGCACAGAACGAGGGAACATCCACATCGTCAACGTGGAGTCCTTTACGCTCTCAGGCTACGTTATCATGTGGAACAAAGCCATTGAACTGTGAGTGTTATTGCTTCTTAATGTCCTCAATTTTCCCTGCATTCTTCTCTCCTCTACTTTTTCTTCCATTGTGGCACAATTCTTGCACACTAGTTTCTGGAAGAGTCTTCTAAAGGAAATCACTGAAAATAGATGATTGGACTATTTGGGAATCAACTCAATCCAAATTAGGATATAAAGCACCTGTCATGCAAACATGTAGCCTAATACCATCCACATAGGTACAGAGTGACAGACAATTAAATACTTAAATTGACCATATTAGATAGAATTTTCTAAGAGTGAAAAATGTAATTAGTAAAAGCTAAAAAAAAATGTTATGAATAGAACTGGAAATCTTACTGAAACCTAAAATGATGTCTTTATTATTCATACAACTAGTTCTAAAAACTCCCCCCCCCCTTGTACACTCGAGGACTAAAACAACCTTTAAGATTTATTAAAGGTGTTCTCGGACTCTCAGGAAACACACAAGGCATTTATACAGCAGTGTAACCCATCTACTTTCTTCTTATCCTTTTCTTCTTTCTTCTTTAAAATATATATACTGTCATATGATGTGAAGCAATTCACTTCCTCTTGACCCTGTCTGTTTCTTTGTTGTATGGATTATTTGTTATAAAACAACTAAAGAGCTGCGCTGATCGTGAAAAATCACTGCTAATCCCAGCCGATTGCCACGTCTGAAACTGATGTTTTATTCATTACTTCTGTCTTTCTTCATTTCTGTTTTTCAAACGTGCGATGTGATTTGATCAAGCGTCAATCTCCGGTGTTGAAAAATGAAGCTGATGCGGAAGTGCAAAATCCTACAGTTCCTCGAGTGTCCACTTGAGGCCGGCTGCAGAAGCAGTGAAAAGTCACATAAAACATTTTTTATAGCAGTACTTAACATGTGTACAGCCTGGTTCAAAAAACTAAACTAGTTCTGATTAGCTCATGTTTTTATCGGCACACACTGTACGGAGGTTGCATTTTTTAATTATTCATCCGTTTTGATTTTATGAAGGATAAGCGTTATTCACAATAAGGTGCATAGCTGACCAGTTTGACAGGAGGATGCAGTGTAACAGTTTGTCAAGGTGCTTAAAACCCACCTCAGCTCCAGTTCTCAGCCTGTCGTTAGGTTGACTAAAAGTTAGGGTGAGGCAGCATTTCCAGCTAGGGGAGCTCCATCGGTGGGACTTCAAAGCCCCCTGTGGAAACATATGGGTGACATCACTCCAGCTTTGTCCCTTAACATTTATAGTCTATGAATGTGATGTATTGAAATTGTTGTTAGTAGTCCTTGGTCTCTCCCAGAGACGATTTTTAGTCTTCAACACTGCCAACATTTTCTTTCACGTTTGACCATGAAAACTCTTTCATGGTCAAACGTGAAAAAGATTTTCCAACGGGGGGCTTCTTCTGCCCAGTACTAAACCTCTTCTCTGAATCAGCTGTTAGCTATACTAGCTTGCCAGCATTAAATTGATACACCAGAACAGATACATAGGCTACCAATGGCACCACCCGTGCATGCCACTTTATTTGCCACTGATTTTTAAGTTTAAAAAAACTATAAAATGTTGAAAATCAATGACTAAGAAATCACTAAAAATAAAAAAAAACAATCCAATAGTTGCATTGGGGATAAAGCTAGTTTAAAAAAAAAAGAAGCTAATCATGAAAAAAAAGGTGGTCATAAAAGATAGGGCTCTAATTTCATTGTAAATACCAAAAGGCTGTGTTCCACAAACTCACATCTCCACTGACACTCTGACTTTATTGACTCACCTTGCAGCACTTGAGTTAAGGGATGCAGTGTAATCAGCATTTTCCCTTTTTAAAGGTTATTGTAGCTTAAACATAATGAGATCAGAAGGACTCATTAGTCAGTCTATCATTTCCCGGCACCGTATCAGACTCCAGGTATAGTGAGCGACCTGTCTCTTTGCTGTTTCGATGGATCTGTCTGCTTGACAGGCTCCATTTTGGCTCCCCACTGTAGAGACTTAAATTATTCACCAGAGCGTTTTGCTTCACGCTTTTCCCCCTCATCCCCTTCTGTGCACTGTGTGTGTGTGAGTGTGAGTGTTTATATGTGTGTGAGAGGGGAGAAGGGGGGGGGGAAAGATGAGGACAGGACAGAGGAGAGCGGGAGGGGGTGGAACAGGTGTCTGCAGAGATCAGTGTTCGGTACACACAGACGTCTCATCTCGACGACAGGGCTGCAGGGAGGAAAAGGCGAGAGTGAGCGACGGGAGAGAGGGGAGGAAGAAGAGGGGGGGGGAGTGTATGACAGAGGAGATGGGAGTGGAATAGATGAGACAGGGCTTTTGCCTGGGGGAGAGGACTCGCAGAGTGATGGAGGAGAAGAACGGAGTGGTGACAGAGGGATAAATGCAGGTAACAGAGGGCAGAGCAGAAGAGACGAGTCATGCAGATAATTGAGAATAGAGATGTGAGAGGAAAAAGGTTTCCAATTAAAGAAAAAAAAAGGGCAGAAGAGGAAGGAAAGGAGGGGTGATAATGATGAGATAGAGGAGAGATGTGGCTGATAAGATAGAGACATATATACCTGGGGTTCTTCTTCGCTAAAGGGCAAGCGATTTACTATTCTTTATTTAACTTTATTCTCCTTCCTTTCTCCTTCACCTTTACAGTAACTTTCCTTCCTCATCACCGTCACCATCTTTCATCTTGGTCCATGAAAATGTGCTTTCTAGTACAGCTCTGTATTCTAAAAATAGTCGCTGATTGAAATAAAATAAAAAACGTTCACTATTATTTGATAAGAAAAGCTGCTTGGGAATAGTAATTCAAAAAAAAAAACTGCAGTTCTTGAAATAATGGACTCCATTTGTTTAGTGATTTTTATCCAAAGTTCACACACTCTGTAATAACCAAGGGCGTAGGTTTCACATCAGTATTGGTAGGGACGCATATACTGTGTGTACTTGAGGAGGAGGGCGCGGGATCTAAAGGTTTTTCTCCAAGAAACTTTGAGCATAAACTTTTATACCAGTTTATCATGAAGTGTAAGTGTAATGATGCCGTGCAGAAATGAAATACAGAAAGATGGTTTACTTCTTCAGTTACGCTGCACTCGAACCTTAAAGTTAGTGATAGGAATGATCCAGATTAGCTGTGAAAAGCTTACTCTGAACGAGACGTTAAGAAAACTTTGCGAGACATGGCCAGAACCTGACCAGGTTTAAGAGCAAAGCACGGAGCAACGTTTTAGAAAATGCCCAGAAGCTTATGGTGCATTCATGTGGTGTCGGCACATCGGAAAAATTAGTTGTAAAATCCGCATGAACACCCGCTCAAGTCGGGACAACACCTCGGAAACTTGGAAAAGAATCAGGTGCCCAACTGGCCGACTTGATGTCAGAATGGTAATCACATGAGGGGCAAAATATGTTTTGTTAATATTAACGCACTTTTTATTAATTGCACTTTTGGCTCAAATATAACTTTTAAAAGTTACATTTCACAGATCTCCTTGTAGCATCAACACTTTTTTTTGCTGTTGTTACAACATTCCGACTTTCCGAACTGAAATCATGTGAACACACTGAAGTCGGAGGAACGACTTCCCAACTTGGAAACTTGGACCACCGCAGAAGCACATGAATGCAGCATTACCCCACATTTACCTGCAACTGCAAACAGAGCTGGCCAATCAGAGGAAAGTGGACACATGGGGAGGGGTGGGCTTAAGAGACAGCAACCGAAATGAACAGGTTCAGGCAGGGATTTTAATGATGCCAGTATAAGATAAAAAGAGGTTTTCAATCTACAAATCTTGCAGCGCTACTTAATAGATGTCCCAGACTGACATCATTAATGTGAAAGTGTGTAGATCGCTTTTAAATGAATTTCAAATGTCTAAAATAACACTAAAATAAATTCTTGTGATTTAAATTTAAGGGAGAGGCATTAGTTTGAGTCTGAAACCTTTATTATAATCCAGAAAATATAAGTTCATGTTTCAATTTTATTTTCTATTTTCTGGTTTGAAGATACAATCACCTTGACTACATCAACCTTGATCTCTGAGCGGAGGTTGCTTAAAGGTGCTTCAGTCCTTTCAACAAATAATGGAGTTCACTGAGGATTAAGAAATAAAATCTAATGCAGTTAAGCAATAAACAAAAGGTCACACATTCTGTAAATGGAATTCTAAATTGAGTCAATAATTAATACCCTTCATCATATTTAGCAGGAGCAGTGAACTCACCAGGTTTAGTCCAAGATGATGGAAAGCTGGTTTTTGTGACAAACAATATAATATAGTTTCCCCTGCATCATTACTTCCATTTTCCCATTCCTATACTCTTCCCTGCCTTCGGTCTTCATCTCCACTTCCTCAACCCAACCCAACATAAATTGCATTCATCAGAATATATGATACAAAATTCAAATTCCGCAGCTCTGCATATAAGTTTGCAGATATGAAGTTACCAAATTTCTCACACCAGCATCTTGTGGGATACTACGCAGGGAAGATGGCAGCAGTGCCAGATATTGATTCTCTAATTTGTTCGAAAGGCTCTCAGATATGTGTATCTGTCAGTGTGTGTGTGTGTGTGTGTGTGTGTGTGTGTGTGTGTGTGTGTGTGTGTGTGTGTGTGTGTGTGTGTGTGTGTGTGTGTGTGTGTGTGTGTGTGTGTGTGTGTGTGTGTGTGTGTGTGTGTGTGTGTGTGTGTGTGTGTGTGTCTGTGGTTTTGCTTTGATGCGGATCAGAGAGGTGTGAGGTGGATCTCTTGTTCTCTTGTCTCGGTGCCAGCTGTGGGGTTGATGGAGGTGGAGCTATACATACAAAAGCTGAAGTGCCTCTCCCATTCTTTTCTTATTCTTCTGATGCTGCCATCAGACAGCGAAACTGGAATTATAGATGTCACTATGTATAACAATTTAAAAAACAAAAATGTATCAAGTGAATATGGCAAACAATTTTGGGCTGCACTTGCTTGAATAAGTGGATTTACTGCTCTTTCCCATTTATAAAAAAA